TGCTAGCAAAACTATATTTCTCCCCAATAGCTGATTTCGCCCTCTCGATACCTTCATAAAGGATGCCCATGGTAGCTTTCTTGTCAGCATCTACCATTCTTAATACCGTGACCAAAGGGGCAGTGGCCTCTACGACACTGGAACATCGAGATCAGAACCTCGTATTTGAGACTATGCCGTCCACTTTTATACCGGTACTAGACTTTGAGAGGTGGTCATTTAAGCACTCTTCACAGGTAAACAATCTCTTTAATGCACCTTCAGATTCCAGAATGAAGTCCACAGCTAAGTAATCGGTCGCAAAGCGGGTTGTGGCAGGCCTGATTATCTCTTTTTTCTTAGAGTGTTCTCTAAACATAAATAAAATTTTAGAGTGGTTATACAACCTTGCTTCCTCTAGAGTCTCCTTCACAATTTTGATCTCACCGATCTCCTCTAATATAAGATCGATGTTGTGTGCAGCACACGGGGTCCATACTAGATGCTTCCTCTTATCCATCAACTTGCTGCCTGTAGAAACACATGCACGCGCATTGTCCGTAATAAACTGGACTACATGAATATCTCCCACCTCCTCCACTATCTGATCATATAATCGTACGTAGAAGTTTGCATCTTTCGTCGTCCTTGATACGTCTTTGCTATACAAAAAAGTTGTACCTTTTGGGGAATAGGCCAAGAAGTTTAAAAACTCATTTTTGTTAACTTTATTCAACCAACCATCTCTCATGAGAGTAATGTTTGTCTTTGGCCAACTCCGTTTATATTCTTCAATCCACTTTGTAACTTCCTCCACATCTTCATTTAATATTGCCCCATTAAGCTCATATGCCGTCAGGGGTTTTACCCCGGGCCCGACTCTCTGAATTGCACTAACCATATGTGGAGAATATGGGCTATTGGTTGCATCAAAGGGAATCCCTTTATCGTAGAACTACTTACCAACATATCTCCCCAACATGTTTCTTGTACCTCATGCCTTTTAGGGTCATCTGTTGTGACTTAGGCTTTGAGAGAAATGAGTCTATACGACCATGACCTGCAATACTAGTACTCCTAAATAAGCTAGGAACTATATCTTCAACGTTTGATTCTTGTTGACACATACTGCCACCAACCCCTCTATACATATTCGAGCTGGGCCCACCATACATGCTCGACCTGGGCCAGCCATGCATGTCTAAGCTGGCTCTGCCATACATGTCTCAGCTAGACCCACCATGCATGTCTGAGCAAGACCCACCATATGTGCCTATGTCATAACCACCGAGCATTCTAAACCCACGTTCCCTCTGATATTGTTCATGTAAACTTATTCTTGTGGCCATCTCTAGGTCATTATTATATTGCTCTTCTAGATCATTATTATATTGCTCTTCTGGATCATTCCTGCTTGATGGTGTATATAAACTAGCTATCTCCTCATTCATCCTATGTTTGGCAATTTTTTTACTTTTGTTAGCCTTAAGAAATGCCGCCATCTATTTTTTTGCATTATTATGGACACTACTGCATGCAGAAACATCTCCCTTAACCTCTGCCAAGTGTTGCTTGAACCTATGTACCCCATTACTTATCACTCTTTGGCAGTAATTACAAATAATTTTGTCTTTTTTGTTGGGATCAAGTTTGACCCCATGTTGCCATGCAAGGTCTTCTGCAGATCTTGACATGATTCAACTGTTTAATATGTAAAAAGTTAAAAATTAACCTGACAGTTCAACAAGAAAAATAATCACCATGTGTAGTGATAATATGTTGGGGTAGTACATATAGTTATATTTGTTGTTATTTGTTATTGCAAAATACTTCTATTGACAATAATATTTTCGTACATATCAATTACAACATACAAGATAATATAATACGAAATGCAAGCTCCAAACATGGCTACAACTCAATTATCAAGAACATACATTTTTTGCATTAAAAATTTAATAATAAAATTGAAAAAATGCAAGATGATATAATTATCATACATGCCACTATTTTTTTACAATGATATTCACTTTAATTCCTCATGATAATACAATTTAACAACATGTATTTTTTGCATTTAAAATTTAAAAATTGAAAATACATTTTTAATGCAAAACTACATTAAAAATATAATATAGTTTTGCATTAGAAATATAATAACATGTATGTTTTGCATAAATATTCTATCAACGTGCAATTTTTTCAATAAAAACTTTAACAATAAAAATTAAAAATATGGTTTAATACCTCATGATAATCAAAACCTGGTAACTATTTTCACATCTTTTCGGAAAATAACGATTTTTCAAAAAAAATCGATCATGTACTAAAAAAAAACAAATAAAACAATTCTTCATAGAGCCACTTACCATCAGTCATTCCAACCAAAAAATGCATTAACAACAAATTAAAAAAATACAGTTTTGCATTAAAAATATAATAACATCCATTTTTTTGCATAAATAATCTATTAACATACAATTTTTTCAACAAATGTTCTAACAATAAAAATTAAAAATATGGTTTAATACCTCATGATAATCAAAACCTAG